CAACATCAATGCATTTCAGCATGGCGTGGGACAGCCACGACAAGCATTATCACCTCTTACGACAAGCATAGTCGCCTTTTACAAAAAGCATAGTCGCCTTTTATATCAAGAATAATCGTCTCTTATGACAAGCATAGTCGTCTTTTACGACAAGCATAGTCGCCTTTCACGACAAGCATAGTCGCCTTTTACGACAAGCATAGTCGCCTTTTACGACAAGTATAGTCGCCTCTTACGACAAGCATAATCGCCTTTTACAAAAAGCATAGTCGCCTTTTACGACAAGAATAGTCGTCTCTTATGACAAGCATAGTCGCCTCTTACGACAAGCATAGTCGCCTTTTACAAAAAGCATAGTCGCCTTTTACGACAAGCATAGTCGCCTCTTACGACAAGCATAGTCGCTCTTTACGACAAGCATAGTTGCCTCTTACGACAAGCATAATCGCCTCTTACGACAAGCATAGTCGCTCTTTAAGACAAGCATAGTCGTCTTTTACGACAAGCATAGTCGCTCTTTAAGACAAGCATAGTCGCTGTTTAAGACAAGCATGAGTTGCTGAAGTCAACTCCTAACCCGGATCTTCACGGGTATAGAACACATGTACCCATCCCTGGTTAATAAGGGAGTGGTTTGAAGTTAACATCACTTTGATTGCTGTAGTTTTCAGCATGACGTGGGAGGACAGCCACATGTTAAAGTGTCTCTTTATATAAAAAGAAAGCATCATCGTGGTCGCCCTAATGTTACAGTTGGGTTTTTGAATGGGACCAAGTCTTACGACCTTCGCATATTTCATTCTTCAACAAAGTAAATTGGGTTTAACGTCACTTCACGCTATTTGAGTTTGTGGAAGGAAAGCTTGAAGGGAGGTGGTCTTTGACGTTCACCAAATCCCAAAACGGGTTTGGTGCTGCCAACCCAAAATAAGAGTCGGGCGAAATACATATTTGTTTTATCATGACAGCAATTCGCCATTACTTACGTTTATATAAAACGTCAACACCAAAGAATAACCAGTCTAGATTATCCACCGAAACAGATTTAAATTGCCGTCAAATTCAAAATAGAGGTGAAATGTATATGTGAGTGAGTCAGTTGGGGTTAACGCCGCTTTTAACAGTATTCCAGTTATATCACGGCGTGTCAGCTAGATGTGGGAGGAAAGCCCGAAGTGATGCAGGTCTCAGACATTTACCACTTCGGTGAAACCCACGAGCACGGGTATGGTGCTAACAAACCTAGAAACATAATCGGGTCGGACCAGGATTCGAACCCACAATCATAGGTTTCTGGCGTGCCAAAGGGACGCAACTCTTCACATCGAATCGCGGCGCATTAGACGACTGGGCCACCAGTGCCCCCTGAAATGTATATGAATGTATCACAAAAAATCAGCAAGGACACCAGGTGTTCGCGAAACATAAAACACATGATCTAATAAGAATAAATTTTATTTCCACAGCACACATCAGTGACCATGAAACAATAAATATACACAGGTCTAGATAATCGGAATCACAGAATAACAACATTGCATTGATTTTGTTCGTTCGGAGTTATTGAACCATGTGTCTGTACAGTACAGTAATGACATCAGAATTAACATATATGTACACAAGAGGGGCCCAGTTATACGTTATAGTCTTCAAATACAATAGGTATGGTACTGGTATACACGTGGTTTGGATTTGATGTCACGTGACTTTAAGAACGAAAGTAAACTGCCGGGCAAAAGAAAGTATACACACGTTTTATGGTTTCACTAAATATGAAACAAACGAGAAATGGTTATACATGGTGTTGTATTTCATACAGGTAACATAGTTGTGTTTAGGGCCTTACGTCGGCAGTGTTTCGGCAACTGTTGTAACATTTTGCAATGTTATGGTCTAATCCCATTTTCAAGTGTACACTTACTTTTTCCCGGCAGTTTACTTTCGTTCTTAAAGTCACGTGACATCAAATCCAAACCACGTATCTTCCAATTTGGCGTGAGAAGCTGCGCGCTATGTCCACGCTAATGTCGGACATGCCTAGACACAGTAGGGCCCATTTAATCTCAACAGTACTATTCCAATTAAGATATTACGGATTTTAATTATTGAAATGGGGTGAGGTTTCATGACAAACACCTCTGACGGTGAGTGTGTAAAAGACTCTCTGCTATGGCGCCCAAAAAGACATAAGTAGTAAAATTTAAAAAAAAATCAACCCATTATCTGTCCTATATATTGCTAATGACACGAGATGATGACATATTCATATATGACAAGAGAACACACTCGGTTATGTCAGCACAGCACGGGTAGCCTTATCACCATGGAAACAAATTCATCAAAACATCACTACTATCTCACTGATGCAAACCCCAATCAACATTAGCGCTCACATGTTGATCATACTCAGGTCTTCGGAAGCAATAAGGTATCATTGGCCCTTCATGTAAAACATTGGAAGTATATGACCATTATACAAAATAAACATTTAGAACCACTGAGAAGTATACTGTCAACTGAAATTGAGGCTTTCATAGAAGTCCATACTGGAGTTTAAGGTTTTGTTTGTACAGTAAACTACGGTTATACCGAATTGAAAGGGACCACACAATTTAGTTCGTAATAACCGTAGTTCGTTTTAAGCACACATACAGCATATATACATCAAATGGACGGGGAAAAACAGTTCGTTATAAGCGTGTTCGTTATAAGCGTGTTCGTTATAAACGTAGTTTACTGTAATGTGATATGGCAGCGTTCCAGTTTATCCTCTCGGACTTTAAAATATATAATCCTTTCATTGGCATAACTTCTCTTACCTCAGAAGTAATCATGAGAAATCATAATCACAAACACGGGTGTGGTGTTGACAAACAAAACAATCGCGGCGAACAGGATTAGAACCCCAAATGATAGGTTTTGGGCGGGGCGATTGAGTTACCTGTGCCTCCAGTAATTATAAGTAAAATATATTGGTCGCCAGCAACCTATGTTGCCGTAAGAGGCGACTAAATGGATCGGTGGTCAAGATCGGGGACTTTCTTGATTGCATGTAATTGTGCCCTGACGCGTATCGTTGCTCATAACATCAATCACTGGATTGTGTGATCCAGGCTCGATAATTTAAAAGGCCGCCATCATATAGCTGGAATATTCCGGAGTTAAACAACAAACAAAAAGTTGGTCGAAGTTTGCATTGAGCTATGCACAATTTACATCCGTGTATAAAAGGTACTATATGGCTATAGTTGTTTACTGAAACGTTCATGCGCATCTTCCTAGAATAGCGAGCCACGTGACTGACACCATGACCTGGCTATGTACCACTTTCATTGATAACGCATACCAGCGTAACACTCGTGACATGCAGTCATATGTCAAGGTCAAATGCTCTCAGCCAATCAGCGTGAGGTATTTATAATGGCGTGATTCTCCACGCGACCAACACATATTTACAGCTTATTTAGGCCAAGAATAGTAGTTTTGTTATCGATTGTTGGTTCAAGTACAATCGTTTCGCGTAATCTTGTTTCACTTAAAGTGAATACAAGGCAAACAAATTGCCTGCCTTCCATACATATGTGGCTACCCTACGTGACGTTTGAGGGTTAACCGCCCATATTCATATCACGGACATGATCCGTCGTGGAAGTTGGAAACACGCTGAGTCATGATGGTGCTTAAACAAGCCCACCTAATTATCCCCCATATGACAATCCATACACGTATCTACAAGTAAAATACGACTAGTTGACTAGTAAATATCGGTGTGAAACGGCACACACGCCATCTGTAAAAAAACCACTACATGTGCACTTTGATGGTGTGACGGCCACTCCGACTTGCATAGAATGGCATGGTTCGCCAGTGCGTCGGATATTGTCACAACATATTGTTTGGCGAGTGTTTGTTGTTTAACGCCGCACACTGCAATACTCAAGCTATATGACGGCGGTCTGTAAATAATCGAGTCTGGACCGGACAGTTCAGTGATTGACATCATGAGCATCGATCTACGCAGTTGGGATACGATTACATGCATCAACCAAATCAGCGAGCCTGAACACCCGATTCCGTTAGTCGCCTCTTACGACAAGCATAATCGCCTTTTACTACAAGCATAGTCGCTCTTTAAGACAAGCATAATCGCCTTTTACTACAAGCATAGTCGCTCTTTAAGACAAGCATAGTCGCCTTTTACGACAAGCATAGTCGCTCTTTAAGACAAGCATAGTCGCCTTTTACGACAAGTATAGCCGCCTCTTACGACAAGCATAGTCGCCTCTTACGACAAGCATAGTCGCTCTTTAAGACAAGCGTGAGTTGCTGAAGTCAACTCCTAACCCGGATCTTCACGGGTATACAACACATGTACCCATCCCTGGTTAATAAGGGAGTGGTTTGAAGATAACATCACTTTGATTGTTGTTGAGTTTTCAGCTTCCGTATCATTGGACTTTATCCTTAAATGTACACAGTGGAAATCCATCAATAACATGTCGAGTTCTCCGACCTTCGTGACCAGCGGAGTACAATTATTAGACAATGCTGGCGATCAGGAGCCTGGTGGGCCGAGCAACACGTCGTCTATACGATATTGTTCGATGGGCACAGCACAGGCAAATTAAGTGTATAAATACAGGTGTCCCATTGTAAAGACCACTGTGTTATTTGGTGCGGAAGATGCTGGGACGAACAGAGATAATGACATCTCCCTGTATACTATTTAGCGGAACAAATTACATTTCATATGCCTCTATCACTAACTGGCAATCAGTCATAACTCTGACTGTATACTTCTCAAAGATGTAAAAGAACATCCGATTCTTTCATATTATTATACTAAAGTTGGCATGCTGTGTTGAGGAATAAAACTTTTGTTTGTTTGTTTGTTGTTTAACGCCGCACTCAGCATTATTCCAGCAATATGACGGCGGTCTGTAAATACTCGAGTCAGGATCAAACAATCCAGTGATCGACATGATGAGCATCGATCTACGCAGTTGGGATATGATGACATGCATGACCAAGTCAGCGAGCGAGACCACCCGATCCCGTTAGTCGCCTTTTACGACACGCATAGTCGCTTTTTACGGCAAACATGGGTTGCTGAAAACCTATTCTAACAGGTAAAACGGGTAATATTTGTCACGCTGACAGATTAACTATAGTAACATAAAAAATGGGATGTTCTTTCATTTCTTTTGAGTGGTATATATGATAGTTGTTTCCCATACTGGGTAAAACGAGCAGCACTCATAAGCTTGAAAATTGAAACGTAAACACATTTCACAAGAAACCAAAACTACCAAACTGCACGTGAATTTTAAAATTAAACATAAATTTAAAAAAATAAAAACATTTCAATGCATATACCTATATTGATCTTAAATTAAAGCCAGCACAGTTACATGTTTAAAAGAACAGAGAACGTTTGAGTTATATTCTAAAAATATTCTAAAAAAGTGAACATTTACACTATTACTTAACCTAGCCAAGATTCATGTAGTTGCTGAAATGTTTGAAGCGAAACTGTTAATCACAAACAGAAGCTGCCTATCCTTCAGACACAGACACAGACACAAACACATGCACTCACTCACTCACATCTCAGCAGTGATACATCATTCATAAACAATCATATAAAAAAATCAAATCTATAGTTTCTCAAAAATAAAAATTTAACATCATAATTATGAACATTGATGATATGGCGTCCAATAGTATGAATCGTGTATTCGCTGTTATGCCAAGCTGGCTAGACATGTCAATGTCCCTTGTAGGCTACCAAGAGAGGGTGTCTTCCTGGAAAGAGAGTTTGGGGCTGTGTTCGGAGTAGAACTGGGAGTACCATCGTCTGTGTTTGGCTATGGTGCTGTCTTCTTTTGATCGGGAAAAAATAGGTTTATTCTCGTACCGTTTATTATTCCATATCATGATGTCCCGTTCAACCTGAAACAATAAAATTCCTACTGAAACACAATGAAATATGTACTGACACACAATGGAATTTGTTCTGAAACATAATGAAACATGTACTGAAACGTTATGAAATACGTACTGAAACACAATGAAATAGGCACCGAAACAATGAAAAAAGAATTATTTCAACAATGAAACAAGTACATAAACATGTACTGAAACATAATGAAACGAACTGAAAAAAATGAAACGAAGACAACGCGCAGCACAACGAAATATTTACAAAATACACTGAAACTGGACGAAACAAGTACTAAAACAATGAAACGTGCTGAAACACAACGAAACAAGGACTGAAACTCAATGTATCAAGGACTGAAAAACTACAACTACTGAAACACAAGGAAACAAAGACGGAAACAACGAAACAGGGACTAAAAACAATGAAACAGGTACTGAAACGATGACACATACTGAAACACAAGGGCGAAAAACAGTGATCAGAGACTGAAACAATTGAAAAATGTATTGAAACACAATGAACCATTTAGCGAGAACACCGGAACAAGAAATGAAACGAACTGAAAGACAACGAAACAATAACACAAAGAACAAAGGACTAAAACACAACGAAAACATGACTAACACAATGAAACAAAGTAGTGAAACGCAATGAAACAGGTCAAAACTGAAAAAAACCCACCAACCATTCATTAACACATTGAATCAAGGACTGGAACACAACGAATCAAGGACTGAAAAAACAACGAAATAGGTATAAAACAACGAAATAGGTACAGAAACAACGAAATAGGTACAGAAACAACGAAATATGTACAGAAACAACGAAATAGGTACAAAACAACGAAATAGGTACACACAACGAAATAAGTACAGAAACAATGAAATAAGAACAGAAACAATGGAACAAGTTCGGAAACACGATGAAACAGGGACTGGAACAGAATGAAACAACCAATGAAACACAACAAAAGGAACTGAAAAACGACAGTGGTTCCCTGATCATCAGCTGCACACAGATCACGGCCGATGGAATATGCCACGGTGTAGAAGGTAGACATTCTTTAAAAACACTTATTAAAATTTGGACACAATTTCAATAAAATTTCATGCAATAATACCAAAAACAATACCTGAATAGCTTCAGCCATCATGTAGAACTTGGCAACGAATGTTGGCATGCGACTCTGCACATAGATATTGTGTATGAGCTTCTGTGTGATGGGCCCCACGGGGAGCAGATTGTGAATGATGACGCCCTTGCCAAATATCCCGCAGTCCATACTCAGATACACAAAGGCTGGGCCTATCTGGAACAAGAAAGGTAAGGCGTGTATGACGGTAATCATAAACCTGCTGCCACTTTTGCCTATTGTACTCTAGATATATTTCTATCTCGTAATGAGGTTTTACTTTTTCCTAGTAAGACCTGGTATGGGGTTTTACTTTTTCCTAATAAGACCTGGAATGAGGTTTTATTTTTTCCTAGTAAGACCTGGTATGGGGTTTGATTCCCCATAATAGTAAACGTACGGAGATTCCCACCCGTGCTGCCTACCGGCGTATTATTGCTGCAAAGCTTCTACTGGATGAACAGGAGAGTGAGTGAGTTGATTAGATGCCGCTTTGAATGTAATTCTGTTATATCAGGGCGTGCCAGATTGATGTTAGAGGGGTGATGTCTTAGACGTTGTCCACGTGGAGCTCACTAGCACGGGTCTGGTGATGACAAACCCATAATCAGGGGGAAACTGAGATTCGAACCCACGATTACACATTTCTTGCGCGTCTGAAACATCACTGCGGTGTCACGTGACCCCCGTCCCACCTCACCAAGTATAAGTGAGTGAATGAGTGAGTATGGTTTTACGCCGCTTTTAGCAATATTCCAGCAATATCACGGCTGGGGACACCAGAAATGGGCTTCACACATTGTACCCATGTCGGGAATCGAGCCCGGGTCTTCGGCGTGTCGAGAGAACGCTTTAACCACTAGGCTACCAGACCGCCCCTTACCGAGTATGAAGCAACATGTTCAATCATATCACATGTCAGCATGATGATAGACGAACACTTAGTCTATGAAAACATTTCTTAAAATAATTGTAATCTTTTTCTTCCTCTTCCGCTGTTTCACATGGAATCAAGGAATCTAAGCTTGGTTTAGTTTGATCAAAACTTGCCTCGGCTGTTAGTAAAGAATAAATATATATATATATTCCAGTCATGGCGCAGGACTATCATGATTGTAGGGAAACCAAATTGCTAATGTTTGTTTGATGTAAAAACGTCGCACTCAGCGATATTCCAGCTATATGTCGGCGGTCTGAAAGTAATCGCATCTGGACCAGACAATCCAGTGATTGGCATCATGAAATTGCAGATGTACATACAGCGTCATAGCAATACTACGAGTGAGCGGTGCAGATGGGTTTAAACTCTCTATGGGCCTTCTGAGCCATCTTGGCCCCAACTGGTGAGATGACGAGACTACGCACGTTGTGATATTCAAATGAGTACGAAGGAGTGGCAGAGTCTCTAAGGGTGAGAGAGGAGCTCTGACCTGTAACAGCATCTTGCACGTGGATTAAGGCAGGGTATACTGCGCACGTTACCCACGTGCAAAGGCATACAACACCTCGGAAATATTGGGATCCCGAGCATACGTGGCACCACACATGCGTCTCTGCAATCTGTGACTACCACATACGCTCGATGGTGGATAACACAATATTGAGCAGTGGCCAGTCTGTGATGTGCCTCGCAAGACAAGATTAACGAGGAACATGTTGAGATAATTATGCCATTTCCTAAAAAATAGCGGCAAACCTTCCAAATCATTAACTGTTTTAAAACCTGCGGAGGTCTCCCATAAAGAAATCTGCAGGACAACCCATGTAATCTACCGCTCATATTCACGTACATAAGACGAACGAGGCAGTTTTCACGTACATGACAGGGACCAGACAATATCAACGTACATGACAGGAATCAGACACTATTCACGTACATTATAGGAACCAGGCAGTATTCACGTACATTATAGGAACCAGACAGTATTCACGTACATTACAGGAACCAGGCAGTATTCACGTACATTACAGGAACCAGACAGTATTCATGTACATTACAGGAACCAGGCAGTATTCACGTACATTACAGGAACCAGACAGTATTCACGTACATTACAGGAACCAGACAGTATTCACGTACATTACAGGAACCAGACAGTATTCACGTACATTACAGGAACCAGACAGTATTCACGTACATTATAGGAACCAGACAGTATTCACGTACATTACAGGAACCAGACAGTATTCACGTACATTACTGGAACCAGACAGTATTCATGTACATTACAGGAACCAGGCAGTATTCACGTACATTATAGGAACCAGGCAGTATTCACGTACATTATAGGAACCAGACAGTATTCACGTACATTGCAGGAACCAGACAGTATTCACGTACATTACAGGAACCAGGCAGTATTCGCGTACATTACAGGAACCAGACAATATTCACGTACATTATAGGAACCAGACAGTATTCACGTACATTACAGGAACCAGACAGTATTCACGTACATTACAGGACGAACACAGTATTCACGCACCTTACAGGAACAAGGCAGTATTCACATACATTACAGGAACCAGACAGTATTCACGTACATTACAGGAACCAGGCAGTATTCATGTACATTACAGGAACCAGACAGTATTCACGTACATTACAGGAACCAGGCAGTATTCATGTACATTACAGGAACCAGACAGTATTCACGTACATTACAGGAACCAGGCAGTATTCGCGTACATTACAGGAACCAGGCAGTATTCACGTACATTACAGGAACCAGGCAGTATTCATGTACATTACAGGAACCAGACAGTATTCACGTACATTACAGGAACCAGGCAGTATTCACGTACATTACAGGAACCAGACAGTATTCACGTACATTACTGGAACCAGACAGTATTCACGTACATTACAGGAACCAGGCAGTATTCACGTACATTACAGGAACCAGGCAGTATTCACGTACATTACAGGAACCAGGCAGTATTCGCGTACATTACAGGAACCAGACAGTATTCACGTACATTATAGGAACCAGACAGTATTCACGTACATTACAGGAACCAGACAGTATTCACGTACATTACAGGACGAACACAGTATTCACGCACCTTACAGGAACAAGGCAGTATTCACATACATTACAGGAACCAGACAGTATTCACGTACATTACAGGAACCAGGCAGTATTCACGTACATTACAGGAACCAGACAGTATTCATGTACATTACAGGAACCAGACAGTATTAACGTACATTGCAGGAACCAGACAGTATTCATGTACATTACAGGAACAAGACAGTATTCACGTACATTACAGGAACCAGGCAGTATTCGCGTACATTACAGGAACCAGACAGTATTCACGTACATTACAGGAACCAGGCAGTATTCACGTACATTATAGGAACCAGACAGTATTCACGTACATTGCAGGAACCAGGCAGTATTCACGTACATTACAGGAACCAGACAGTATTCACGTACATTACAGGAACCAGACAGTATTCACGTTCATTACAGGAACCAGGCAGTATTCACGTACATTACAGGAACCAGACAGTATTCACGTACATTACAGGAACCAGACAGTATTCACGTTCATTACAGGAACCAGGCAGTATTCACGTTCATTACAGGAACCAGACAGTATTCACGTACATTACAGGAACCAGACAGTATTCACGTACATTGCAGGAACCAGACAGTATTCACGTACATTGCAGGAACCAGACAGTATTCACGTACATTGCAGGAACCAGACAGTATTCATGTACATTACAGGAACCAGGCAGTATTCATGTACATTACTGGAACCAGACAGTATTCACGTACATTACAGGAACCAGACAGTATTCACGTCCATTATAGGAACCACACAGTATTCACATACATTACAGGAACCAGACAGTATTCACGTTCATTACAGGACCAACACAGTATTCACGCACCTTACAGGAACAAGGCAGTATTCAGGTACATTACCGGAACCAGACAGTATTAACGTACAACACAGGCACCAGGCATGTCCTAAGCCACCCCCAACACCTCCTCCTGCAACGCGGACAAAAGGCAGCCTTCGAAATCCACGCACAATCTGTGTCCGAGGCAACTAAATTGTGCTGAGGACAATTAAACATCCCATGACAGTCGTCCTCACTGACCAACAGCATGTGAGGTCTGTAATTCTCCATGTTTCATTGTTGCTATCCAATATACAAACTGAATAAAGCTCACATTCTTGTCTCGTACAAGCAGGAGTAGCTACACACTCGGAGTCATCTGGACAAGTCATTAGAAACTTAATTTCAAAGGCTTTAAGCCACGTGGCTACAGAGTACAGTGTCTCCTCTTGATTTAAAGTAATCCCCACTAACCTGTCCAGTGAAATACCTACCTGTTTGGCCTTGACCTCCATGTCAAGCATGGACATGTGCATGCCACACAACCACAGCTTATGCCCCACGGACATCTGGGCTACGTGAGCCTCGGGGGGTGGAAACGCCTCCCAGCTGGCCTTCCACCGGTGCTCCACAAATGTCCACATCTTAGCCCACATGTACCTCAGATCCGTCCCAGCGCCCATGAAGGGTCCGTGCACCGTTGGCAGGTGAGCTACGTCAGCTCCGTTCTCCGGGATCTCCTTATGATGACAACAGTGACTGAATTAAAATTTAAAGTCACGTCTACAGTATTTCAGTCATATGGTGACTGGAACAATTATAAAAGTAATAGTATATAAAACATGTCTACAATGGACAGTACAGAACTAGATTATCACAGATTATATTTAGCTTAAGAGCGTTAAAAGGTTTTAACTATTATAAGAAGGTATATAATGAAACAGGGCCATAGATCACCAGGAAGCAAATTTAGGCCGCCGTACTTGGGACCATGGGGACTTACAGTACGCAGGATTTACACCATCCCTTTTGTCGCTGACGACTTTAGACAAATAATTCGAATTACGAAAAAAGCTACGATTGAAACAGTGGTAGATATTCGAATTCTTTTAATGACATGGACTAACAACACCCTCCCTGGGAGACAATAATTTTCACACAACTTCCACCTCCATCGAGGGCGAAACGGCCAACATTGATTACTGGGATAGTTATTGGAAATAATGAAATCTTTACCGGCGCTTTAAGGAACAGTGTCGTCCAGACGCACTGGGATATGTTCTTAAATAACGTTAGGGGGCCAAGACCAGCACTGGCAGTGATAGTCCAGATGTCTGATAACATACTGGAGTCGCGACACGGGTGTTCTACTTTTATTAAGGGCAGTTGGCCACGCTCATTGATAAAGTACGGGAGTCGCGACACCGGGTTAGTGTAAAATGGAGGAACATGGTCCTCTGACAAAGTATCATAATGTCAGGTGCCACAGTATCTTTGCAGAATGACACTGGGGGTCAGTCCAACAAATATACATAAACCAGATGTGATATGGAATACATGGGCATTGTTGGTATGCCGTTGCCAGGGTTACCTGTATCTGAGCGTTGACTATGTGTTCCGTCCGACCCCGGTAGGTCCACTCCCCCTTCGTGATCTCCTCTATCTCAGGGGGCAACCAGTCGGGCTCATCCCCTTCGGCGTGGTGCCATACGTACACCCAGCCGTTCATCTCCTCCACCTTCCACGTCTTGACCCTCGCGATGTCGGGCACTGGAGATACATACAACCAAGTGAACATCAGGGGATAACGAGGACCATGTGTATATTGTCTTACATCTTCACCAGGGGAGAGACATCGAGAGCATCTTTATACAGTACATATTGTCTTACATCTTCACCAGGGGAGAGACATCGAGAGCATCTTTATACAGTTCATATTGTCTTACATCTTCACCAGGGGAGAGACATCGAGGGCATCTTTATACAGTTCATATTGTCTTACATCTTCACCAGGGGAGAGACATCGAGAGCATCTTTATACAGTTCATATTGTCTTACATCTTCACCAGGGGAGAGACATCGAGAGCATCTTTATACAGTTCATATTGTCTTACATCTTCACCAGGGGAGAGACATCGAGAGCATCTTTATACAGTTCATATTGTCTTACATCTTCACCAGGGGTGAGACAGCGAGGGCATCTTTATACAGTACATATTGTCTTACATCTTCACCAGGGGTGAGACAGCGAGGGCATCTTTATACAGTACATATTGTCTTACATCTTCACCAGGGGAGAGACAGCGAGAGCATCTTTATACAGTTCATATTGTCTTACATCTTCACCAGGGGAGAGACAGCGAGAGCATCTTTATACAGTTCATATTGTCTTACATCTTCACCAGGGGTGAGACAGCGAGGGCATCTTTATACAGTACATATTGTCTTACATCTTCACCAGGGGTGAGACATCGAGGGCATCTTTATACAGTACATATTGTCTTACATCTTCACCAGGGGAGAGACAGCGAGAGCATCTTTATACAGTTCATATTGTCTTACATCTTCACCAGGGGAGAGACAGCGAGAGCATCTTTATACAGTTCATATTGTCTTACATCTTCACCAGGGGTGAGACATCGAGAGCATCTTTATACAGTTCATATTGTCTTACATCTTCACCAGGGGTGAGACATCGAGAGCATCTTTATACAGTTCATATTGTCTTACATCTTCACCAGGGGAGAGACATCGAGAGCATCTTTATACAGTTCATATTGTCTTACATCTTCACCAGGGGAGAGACATCGAGAGCATCTTTATACAGTTCATATTGTCTTACATCTTCACCAGGGGAGAGACATCGAGAGCATCTTTATACAGTTCATATTGTCTTACATCTTCACCAGGGGAGAGACATCGAGAGCATTCTTATACAGTTTATATTGTCTTACATCTTCACCAGGGGAGAGACATCGAGAGCATCTTTATACAGTACATATTGTCTTACATCTTCACCAGGGGTGAGACAGCGAGGGCATCTTTATACAGTACATATTGTCTTACATCTTCACCAGGGGAGAGACAGCGAGAGCATCTTTATACAGTTCATATTGTCTTACATCTTCACCAGGGGAGAGACAGCGAGAGCATCTTTATACAGTTCATATTGTCTTACATCTTCACCAGGGGTGAGACATCGAGAGCATCTTTATACAGTTCATATTGTCTTACATCTTCACCAGGGGTGAGACATCGAGAGCATCTTTATACAGTTCATATTGTCTTACATCTTCACCAGGGGAGAGACATCGAGAGCATCTTTATACAGTTCATATTGTCTTACATCTTCACCAGGGGAGAGACATCGAGAGCATCTTTATACAGTTCATATTGTCTTACATCTTCACCAGGGGAGAGACATCGAGAGCATCTTTATACAGTTCATATTGTCTTACATCTTCACCAGGGGAGAGACATCGAGAGCATTCTTATACAGTTTATATTGTCTTACATCTTCACCAGGGGAGAGACATCGAGAGCATCTTTATACAGTACATATTGTCTTACATCTTCACCAGGGGAGAGACATCGAGAGCATCTTTATACAGTTCATATTGTCTTACATCTTCACCAGGGGAGAGACAGCGAGAGCATCTTTATACAGTACATATTGTCTTACATCTTCACCAGGGGAGAGACAGCGAGAGCATCTTTATACAGTTCATATTGTCTTACATCTTCACCAGGGGAGAGACATCGAGAGCATCTTTATACAGTACATATTGTCTTACATCTTCACCAGGGGAGAGACATCGAGAGCATCTTTATACAGTTCATATTGTCTTACATCTTCACCAGGGGAGAGACATCGAGAGCATCTTTATACAGTTCATATTGTCTTACATCTTCACCAGGGCTGAGACACCGGGAGCATTCTTATACAGTTTATATTGTCTTACATCTTCACCAGGGGAGAGACAGCGAGAGCATCTTTATACAGTTCATATTGTCTTACATCTTCACCAGGGGAGAGACAGCGAGGGCATCTTTATACAGTTCATATTGTCTTACATCTTCACCAGGGGTGAGACATCGAGAGCATCTTTATACAGTTCATATTGTCTTACATCTTCACCAGGGGAGAGACATCGAGAGCATCTTTATACAGTACATATTGTCTTACATCTTCACCAGGGGAGAGACATCGAGAGCATCTTTATACAGTTCATATTGTCTTACATCTTCACCAGGGGAGAGACATCGAGAGCATCTTTATACAGTTCATATTGTCTTACATCTTCACCAGGGCTGAGACACCGGGAGCATTCTTATACAGTTTATATTGTCTTACATCTTCACCAGGGGAGAGACAGCGAGGGCATCTTTATACAGTTTATATTGTCTTACATCTTCACCAGGGGAGGGACAGCGAGGGCATCTTTATACAGTTCATATTGTCTTACATCTTCACCAGGGGAGAGACATCGAGAGCATCTTTATACAGTTCATATTGTCTTACATCTTCACCAGGGGTGAGACAGCGAGGGCATCTTTATACAGTACATATTGTCTTACATCTTCACCAGGGGAGAGACACCGGGAGCATTCTTATACAGTTTATATTGTCTTACATCTTCACCAGGGGAGAGACATCGAGAGCATCTTTATACAGTTCATATTGTCTTACATCTTCACCAGGGGAGAGACAGCGAGGGCATCTTTATACAGTTCATATTGTCTTACATCTTCACCAGGGGAGAGACAACGAGGGCATCTTTATACAGTTCATATTGTCTTACATCTTCACCAGGGGTGAGACATCGAGAGCATCTTTATACAGTTCATATTGTCTTACATCTTCACCAGGGGAGAGACATCGAGAGCGTTCTTATACAGTTTATATTGTCTTACATCTTCACCAGGGGAGAGACAGCGAGGGCATCTTGATACAGTTCATATTGTCTTACATCTTCACCAGGGGAGAGACAACGAGGGCATCTTTATACAATTCATATTGTCTTACATCTTCACCAGGGGTGAGACATCGAGAGCATCTTTATACAGTTCATATTGTCTTACATCTTCACCAGGGGAGAGACATCGAGAGCATTCTTATACAGTTTATATTGTCTTACATCTTCACCAGGGGAGAGACAGCGAGGGCATCTTTATACAGTTCATATTGTCTTACATCTTCACCAGGGGAGGGACAGCGAGGGCATCTTTATACAGTTCATATTGTCTTACATCTTCACCAGGGGAGAGACAGCGAGGGCATCTTTATACAGTTCATATTGTCTTACATCTTCACCAGGGGAGAGACAGCGAGGGCATCTTTATACAGTTCATATTGTCTTACATCTTCACCAGGGGAGAGACAGCGAGGGCATCTTTATACAGTTCATATTGTCTTACATCTTCACCAGGGGTGAGACAGCGAGGGCATTCTTATACAGTTTATATTGTCTTACATCTTCACCAGGGGAGAGACATCAAGAGCATTCTTATACAGTTTATATTGTCTTACATCTTCACCAGGGGTGAGACAGCGAGGGCATTCTTATACAGTTTATATTGTCTTACATCTTCACCAGGGGAGAGACATCGAGGGCATTCTTATACAGTTTATATTGTCTTACATCTTCACCAGGGGAGAGACAGCGAGGGCATTCTTATACAGTTTATATTGTTTTACATCTTCACCAGGGGTGAGACAGCGAGGGCATTCTTATACAGTTTATATTGTTTTATATCTTCAGCGGGGGAGAGACCACGAGGGCATTCTTATACAGTTTATATTGTTTTACATCTTCACCAGGGGAGAGACAACGAGGGCATTCTTATACAGTTTATATTGTCTTACATCTTCACCAGGGGAGAGACCACGAGGGAATTCTTATACAGTTTATATTGTTTTACATCTTCACCAGGGGAGAGACCACGAGGGCATTCTTATACAGTTTATATTGTCTTACATCTTCACCAGGGGAGAGACAGCGAGGGCATTCTTATACAGTTTATATTGTCTTACATCTTCACCAGGGGTGAGACAACGAGGGCATTCTTATACAGTTTATATTGTCTTACATCTCTACCAGGGGTGAGACAACGAGGGCATTCTTATACAGTTTATATTGTCTTACATCTTCACCAGGGGAGAGACAACGAGGGCATTCTTAAACAGTTTATATTGTCTTACGTCTTCACCAGGGGAGAGACCACGAGGGCATTCTTCTACAGTTTATATTGTCTTACATCTTCACCAGGGGAGAGACAACGAGGGCATTCTTATACAGTTTGTATTGTCTTACATCTTCACCAGGGGAGAGACAACGAGGGCATTCTTATACAGTTTATATTGTCTTACATCTTCACCAGGGGAGAGACAACAAGGGCATTCTTATACAGTTTATATTGTCTTACATCTTCATCAGGGGAGAGACATCAAGGGCATTCTTATACAGTTTATATTGTCTTACATCTTCACCAGGGGAGAAACAACGAGGGCATTCTTATACAGTTTATATTGTCTTACATCTTCACCAGGGTAAAGACATCGAGGGCATTCTTATACAGTTTATATTGTCTTACATCTTCACCAGGGGAGAAACAACGAGGGCATTCTTATACAGTTTATATTGTCTTACATCTTCACCAGGGTAAAGACATCGAGGGCATTCTTATACAGTTTATATTGTCTTACATCTTCACCAGGGGAGAAACAACGAGGGCATTCTTATACAGTTTATATTGTCTTACATCTTCACCAGGGGTGAGACAACGAGGGCATTCTTATACAGTTTATATTGTCTTACATCTTCACCAGGGTAAAGACATCGAGGGCATTCTTATACAGTTTATATTGTCTTACATCTTCACCAGGGGAGAGACATCAAGGGCATTCTTATACAGTTTATATTGTCTTACATCTTAACCAGGGGAGAGACAACAAGGGCATTCTTATACAGTTTATATTGTCTTACATCTTCACCAGGGGAGAGACAACGAGGGTATTCTTATACAGTTTATATTGTCTTACATCTTCACCAGGGGAGAGACATCGAGGGCATTCTTATACAGTTCATAGTGTCTTACATCTTCACCAGGGGAGAAACAACGAGGGCATCTTTATACAGTTTATATTGTTTTACATCTTCACCAGGGGAGAGAGCACGACGGCATTCTTATACAGTTTATATTGTCTTACATCTTCACCAGGGGAGAGACAACGAGGGCATTTTTATACAGTTTATATTGTCTTAGGTCTTCACCAGGGTTGAAACAACGAGGGCATTCTTATACAGTTTATATTGTCTTACATCTTCACCAGGGGAGAGACAACGAGGGCATTCTTATACAGTTTATATTGTCTTACATCTTCACCAGGGTTGAGACAACGAGGACATTTTTATACAGTTTATATTGTCTTACATCTTCACCAGAGGAGAGACAGCGAGGGCATTCTTATACAGTTTATATTGTCTTACATCTTCACCAGGGGAGAGACAACGAGGGCATTCTTATACAGTTTATATTGTCTTACATCTTCACCAGGGGAGAGACAACGAGGGCATTCTTATACAGTTTATATTGTCTTACATCTTCACCAGGGGAGAAACAGCGAGGGCATTCTTATACAGTTCATATTGTCTTACATCTTCACCAGGGAAGACACAACGAGGGCATTCTTATACAGTTTATATTGTCTTACATCTTCACCAGGGGAGAAACAGCGAGGGCATTTTTATACAGTTTATATTGTCTTACATCTTCACCAGGGGAGAGACAACGAGGGCATTCTTATACAGTTTATATTGTCTTACATCTTCACCAGGGGAGAAACAGCGAGGGCATTCTTATACAGTTCATATTGTCTTACATCTTCACCAGGGAAGACACAACGAGGGCATTCTTATACAGTTTATATTGTCCTATATCTTCACCAGGGGAGAGATAACGAGGGCGTCATTAAACAGTTCCTAAAATCGTACATCTTCATTAGTTTCAATTTTATTGAATACACTCAATAGACAGAACCTTTCATTCCCAGAAGACAACTTTGGGAATAGGATGGAATAAGATTTAGTCCCATAAATAAAGTATGTTATTTATACAAATATATCTTCAAAACATCTCAGAGCTTAGGCAATCAAGACTACCAAATAATTCTGGACTTGAGTTGGCTTCATTTCTTAATGTAACCTCATGGGCCTGAGAGAAAGACTATGAATAGGCAGGCATCTCCTCATCAATACGATAAACAACCGACCACCTACCACAGGATACACTTCACTGTAACATCATCTGTATGTGTCCGACTAACAAGGTATCATATAACCATTCTATTGTGATCAATACCCTGGACAAATTTCCTAAATAGCTTCGTTTGTGATGGATTCAAATTACATGACGCAACAAATAGATCAATCTTATTACAATCATGTGTGGGAGAAATTCTGTGTAAAGTTAGTGATAATTGAGATTGATATGGTGACATCCTTCTGAAACGGATGAGTCCAAGGTGGGTATCATAATGAACTGTAGATGATGATGCGCCGGATAAAAGGTACATGTGATGACAATAATGCCTCGACGATTGTGTATCAAAACCTCAACATTAACACCTCTTTAACATCACTCTATGTTGATTTCAAACTATCCTCTCACTCACTATAACAGTATAACGCTACAGCACTGTTTGTTTGTTGTGTAACGCCGCACTCAGCAATATTCCAACTATATTACGGCGCTCTGAAAATAATCAATTCTGGTCCAGATAATCCAGTGATTGATATCATGAGCATTGGTCTACATAATGGTAGTACGATGACATCCATCAACCAATTCAGCGAACCTGGCCACCCGATCCAGTGAGTCGCCTCTTCCGACAAGTATAGTCGGCATTTGAGTGAGTGAGTGAGTGAGTGAGTGAGTGAGTGAGTGAGTGAGTGAGTATGGTTTAACAGTTCTAAACCGGATCTCGGGGACTATGGGAAAATGCACTATACAGACCACAGCCTCATAATAAACACAACTATGTTACGTTCGACGCCAATCCCAGGGCTTGGGAGTTATTTGTATTTTCAATTGTCAAAAAAATGATCTGCTATAGCTTTGTTAAAGTTATTAAAGGTAAGAGTGATCTCTGACAAGGGACTTCTGTAGATTTGAAAGTTGGAACACTGGGATATCCCTTGCGAGCGATGCCCGACACATCAGCCTCACCTTTATCTGCAGCAGGGATGTTGGTGCACTTGCCATCCTCTCCCCTGAACCTCCAGGCGTGGAAGGGGCACTCGATACAGTTGCCCACCACCTTGCCCCCCACGGCCATGTTGGCGCCCAGGTGGGGGCAGTAGGCGTTGACAACGTGAGCCTTGCCCTCCTCGTCCCTGAACACAGCCAGGTGGACCCCTGAAACACACACGATGAACCATGAGGAGTGTTATACGTAGTAGGACCATATGAAAGCGTGAGTGAATTGGATTTAACGCCACTTTAAACAGTATTCCAGTTATATAACGGCGTGTCAGTTTCATGTGGGAGCAGACCGCCTCCGTGTTCTAGTGGTAGAGCGTCCGCCCGGAGAGCGGAAGGTCCAGGGTTCGATCCCCGACCGCGTCATACCAAAATACGTTAAAAGATTGTACTTGTTGTTACCCTGTATGGCGCTCGGCATTAAGGGGCTAAAACAAGGACTGGCCGGCTGTAAGTCAGTATACTGTGTCTGAGTGGGGTATTCATGTTAAACTGTGGCATTGTATCTCAGTGAGCTAGCACTATAAATCGGCATCAGTCCGGACTAGTACAAGCAGCCACACAAACACACACACGTACATGCACGTCGCTATATAAGTGCAATAATCTTGAACAGTGTCTGAACAAAGCATACACTTATTTAGTCTGCGTAAAATTTAATGTACAGATTATTAATTATTTTATTATTTATTCATTGATTGTAAAACGAATGAACACGTGTACCGCAATCTGACTGGCTGAAATCCGTTTCTAATTGGATTCAGGAACAACTGAAGGTATTTCACTGTTCGTGAACATACTTTTCTGGCTACGCGGATTCATGCAGTTTGTACATCAGTTATTCGATTCATATCTCAATGAACCGAAAAATATACACGGTCAATCCATAAATAAAGTAATGGTTTAAGATGAGCGTGTAATCTAATACTTCATTGTCAAAGAGAGATCAGAAGTTGAATTGTACTTTATCTAAATCCTCATAACTCTCATTATACAGTAACATAAAATCTGTTTTTGGCAATGAAATATATTTAGCTAGTTTACTTCGAGACAAGAAACTATTTTACTATCATTAGAGTATCTGCTCACAGAGTGAAAATTGAAACTGGAAGGTATACAAATATTGACAGATTCTAGACGTTGTGAATTTTGTAGGCTATGTAACATTGAGTTTTTTTAAGATGAATAACATTTTTTGTTCATATGTCCAAAATTTAAGAATGATAGAATTAAATGTATTGGGAAATATTACTGGAATGCATATTATTTTAAACTGCACCGGTTACTTAGCTGTTACCATAAAACAGTGACATAGTACATCGTAAAATATATAAAATCATGTTTATCATAAGAAGTATTTTTACTGATCTCTCTCTGACATTTGTAAGTGTTTGTTTTTAGTTTGTAAATGTAAGATAAGGGGCTGGAAGCGCGAGTCTTTATAAATAAACTTATGTTATGTTCTGTTCTATTAAAACTCTCAACATCGTTGGGCTTATACAATGACATTGCATGTAGAGGTGATAGAACACTGAGAGGAGCTTATGCACAGTCAATGACTCCAGCAACCGTGTTGCTTGATTGACGTCATAGGGCATTGTTTCGCCGGTGTGTCTTGCCACAAAATTTCACAAATATCGTCATAGAGTATTGTGACGTGTTCGCACATTTTGCTGAATTCTAAAGGTTGACAATTGTATGGTATTAAATTAATACGTGTCAACTTTTAATGTGTTCGAAGTTGTATCATTCTGATAACCTCAATTGGATAATGCTGTGGATCGCGTGGATGTCTGTCTATTTAAACACGACAGTGAAATAGTGCATTCATAAGCTAGACCTTCTTTATGCCGATTCCTGTAGATCAAACGAGGTTTTAATAATCTATGAAAATCTATGAAAATATAGGGGCGGTCGGGTAGCCTGAGGTTAAAGCGTTCGCTCGTCACGCCGAAGACCCGGGTTCGATTCCCGACATGGGTACAATGTGTGAAGCCCATTTAAGGTGTTAAACCATACTCACTCACTCACTCACTCACTCACTATGAAAATATAGTAATAAATAACATAATAAACTCGCTCCCGTTTTATACCATTTATATGAAACTCGTGTATAGTTCTGGCATTTGACTCTCTTTGGCTCATCAGACACTAGAACTATTCCCGAGTTTTCATAAAATTAGTTTAACACGGGAGCGAGTTTAGTATTCTATAAACCTCTCTGTATAATATATATTTATTAATTTTTTTTCAATTCATAATGTTCATATAATTAAGTAATGTACAGATTGTATAACCGTTTTCCTTTCTCTATTTTTGTATTGACGTTTTTCCATATTTTATCAAAAAGGAAAGAGAACTGACACATGCCCACTGTGGCCCAGCCCGCAGTCAGTCTGACAGGTAGCATGTTTATCAAGTCACAGGCGACGTGACCCACTCGCGGTGTACAACGACCCTTGACCTACTTAGAGGTGGGGGTCCATGATGTGTTGGCTGTTCATGTATTTTGGCTGTGTGTGGTATTTCACGCCGGATACGCTACAAGCCAACCTGCCGTTTCTATACGAGGATTATGTAATGTTACTTCCGCCTCTCGCACACTGCGGCGTACGGCTTGAGTTTTGTGATACCTTTACTTGAACTTAAACAGAGCGATTATTAAAGAAATTTGTGTGGCAGAAACGAAAGTTTGCGACAGTTTAATCTAAAGTTTCGACAATGCTGACATTTTCTGGAACTATTGATCCAGTTGGTATGATGGACGTGGTTGATCACACAATGGGGGTGTCGCAGGGCGCGGTAACCTCAATTCCATCACTCACATTGTCAAAAACACTCACTCCATGCTGGAGGACGTGAAGGACACAGCTACTGTTACTGACAGTCGTCTTCACTGCGAACAATACCAGTGCAGATATTCATACCTTACGTCAGCTGGTAGAGGTTATGTGTGATGGACATATCTACATGATATACCTGCGCAGGTATAGCGTTTTATTGCACTATACCTGTCTCACACTGCACTGGTGTGTACTTGTCTCACACTGCACTACACGTGTCTCACACTGCAGTATACGTGTCTCACACAGCACTACGTGTCTCACACTGCAGCTAAGTGTCTCACACAGCACTACGTGTCTCACACTGGAGTGTACTTGTCTCACACTGCACTACACGTGTCTCACACTGCAGTATACGTGTCTCACATAGCACTACGTGTCTCACACTGCACTACGTGTCTCACACTGCAGCTAAGTGTCTCACACAGTACTATACGTGTTTTACACTGCAGTATACGTGTTTCACACTGCAGTATACGTGTCACACTGCACTATACGTGTCTTACACTGCAATATACGTGTCTCACACTGCACTATATGTGTCTCACACTACACTATACGTGTTTCACAGTGCACTATACATGTCTCACACCACACTATACGTGTCTCACACTGCACTATACGTGTCTCACACTGCACTATACGTGTCTCACACTGCACTATACGTGTCTCACACTGCACTGCAGTGTCTCACTCTGCACTATACGTGTCTGACACTGCACTATAGGTGTCTCACACTGCACTATACATGTTTCAAACTAGACTATACGTGTCTCACACTGCACTATACGTGTTTCACACTTCACTATACGTGTCACAGTGCACTATACGTGTCTCACACTCCACTGAACGTGTCTCACACTGCACTATACGTGTCTCACACTGCACTATACGTGTCCGAGACTAAAATTTACGTGTCACACTGCACTATATACGCTTCTCACACTGTACTATACGTGTCTCACACTGCTCTATACGTGTCTCATACTGCACTATACGTGTATCACATGGCACTATACGCGTATCACATGGCACTATACGTGTATCACATGGCACTATACGTGTCTCACCCTGCACTACGGGATCGGGATGTCAGGCTCGCTGACTTGGTTGATGCATGACATCAATCCAAATTGCGTGGATCGATGTTCATGATATCAATCACTGGATTGTCTTGTCCAGACTCGATTATTTACAGACCGCTGTCATATAGCTGGAGTGCGGCGTTAAACAAAACAACCAACCAACCACACTGCACTATACGTGTCTCACACTGCACTACACGTGTGTCACACTGTCTCACACTGCTCTATACGTGTCCCACTCAATTTACGTGTTACACCACACTATACGTGTCACTATTTACGTGTCACACTGCACTATATACGTTTCTCACATTGCACTATACGTGTCTCACACTGAACTGCACGTGTCTCACACTGTCTCACACTGCACTATACGTGTCTCACACTGCACTTTATGTGTCTGATACTGCACTATACGTGTCAAACACAATTTACGTGTCACACTGCACTATATACGTTTCTCACATTTCATTATACGTGTCTCACACTGCACTATATGTGTCTGACACTGCACTGTACGTGTCTCACATTGCACTATACGTGTCTCACACTGCACTTTATGTGTCTGACACTGCACTATACGCGTCTCACACTGCACTACACGTGTCTCACACTGCACTGTGCGTGTCTCACATTGCAATATACGTGTCTCACACTGCACTTTATGTGTCTGACACTGCACTATACGTGTCTCACACTGCACTACACGTGTCCCACACTGCACTGTACGTGTCTCACATTGCAATATACGTGTCTCACACTGCACCTTATGTGTCTCACACTGCACTACACGTGTCTCACACTGCACTATATGTGTCTCACACTGCACTGTACGTGTCTCACACTGCACTACACGTGTCTCACACTGCACTACACGTGTCCCACACTGCACTGTACGTGTCTCACATTGCAATATACGTGTCTGACACTGCACTTACGTGTCTCACACTGCACTGTACGTGTCTCACACTGCACTACACGTGTCTCACACTGCACTACACGTGTCTCACACTGCCTCACACTGCACTATACGTGTCACACTGCACTATACGTGTCTGACACTGCACTTACGTGTCTCACACTGCACTGTACGTGTCTCACACTGCACTACACGTGTCTCACACTGCACTACACGTGTCTCACACTGCCTCACACTGCACTATACGTGTCACACTGCACTATATGTGTCTGACACTGCACTGTACGTGCCTCACATTGCACTATACGT